CTGTCCTGGCCAAAACGGGATCCATGGTTACCCTACCTAAACAGGTACCTGTCTCGCTTAGCCTGTAAGACTGGAGTACAACGCACCATGCTGTAGGTACAGATTGAGATCAGTACAGCGGCGTGCAGCAAGAGAAGTCCAAGGGAGATCTGAGCGTTGGGTTGTACCCATGTACGTGTGGGAAGCAGCGAGACTGTGCCCTAAGCTCGGCCCACAGTCCTGAACTCCTCCTACAAGCCCAGAGGAGCTGTCTGTTTCTGCTAAAACGATCAGCAGCAAAATTAGTTAACAGTGATATTAAAGTCTTGTCTACACTAAGAAATTGAACAGTTGCTGAGAACAGATTAGACCTAGATGATAGTAATAGCCAGAGTCACACTTTCTCTCTCCTGAAGGTCTGTTCTGAGTCTCCTTTTTTCTGTTTTTATGCTGCCACTGTCCATAGTTCCTTGTCTCCTCAAATATCACCGTCCGTGGTGCAGTACGTTTGTCTGCTCGTTCTCTGAGGGTGCACGTCACTGATTGGCTCAGATCCTCTTATCTACTCACTGTTAAGCGCTATGGCCCCAATCCTCCTGGTTTCCCTGTGTGGCGAGATCCCTGTTGAAGTCAGTGGGGTCTGTGCAGGCACATGGGTCCGCCCATCCAGAATGTCCTGGCGAATAGGAGCTATATTTTTAGAAGGACTCCTTGCTTGTGTTAGCGACGTCATTTTGTTCCTTGGCATAGATTGAAAATGTGGTTCAGTGTCTTCACCAACTTGAATTGTTAATTCCATTCTCTTCATCATTTATCCACACGTATTTTCTCCCCAGCACCTCTTTCCGCTGAGGTACGTCTAAACCCTCTGGTTTATTCCACATCATAGCCTGCTTGGATTAGCATTAAACACATGATGCTCCCTTGGCTGCCCTTATCTTTACCCTACAGTCCTTTACTGACGCTGTGAGTTCTCGTTTGGTCCCCTCTCCCTACTTTCCATTTCCAGAGCAGGTCTGTTTTTAAACCTCCGGTCTCGGAGCAGCCCCCTTGTGGAGAAGCCCCATTAGTTGCTGCTTATTCCTTGAATTCTTGTTTTCAAAGGAAGTTGATTTGTTGGTTGCCAGTGCTTTACCTAGCGCTTTACCCAGGAGAATTACCTGCACTTTGGATCCTGTGGCATAAAGGGAGAACGTGAATTGAGTCTGCAAGTTGTTGTTGAGGAGGAAAATCTTGGGCGTCTGATCCTGAGCAGCCTTTAATGACTTCTAACGAGACTGGTCACGGCACTAAGAATAGACCCAGATTCTTAATTCTTGCAGTGCTGGGTGTTGCAAGCCCCAAGCCTCATTTTCAAAATTGGCATCGTCACGGGGATTCAGTGGGACTTCAGTTTGTTGGTGTCGCAGCCCCGAGTGGAGCAATCCCTGAGGACCTCTGAAAACCCGAGCCCGTGAGCAGGATCTGGCCCCAAACATTTTCTGTTTTTTTCCCTCATTAATGTTGTGTGCCTGCTGGAGCACAAGCTTCCAGGGCTTGTTGCTAGGAGGTGCTGAGCACCCGTAGCTCTCATTGAAGCTAGCAGGGCTTAAGAAGAAGGAGGTTAAGACAGCTAGATTGGCGTTCAGGAAATCTGGGTTCAATTTCCAGCTCTACCACAGACATCCTGGGTGGCCTTGGGCCCAGCTTTGTAAAGTTATTTAGGCGTCGTTAAAATCAGCATCGCGTTAAGTGCCGCAACGCCTGA